GCACCCCCAGGCTCAGCTCCCGCAGCAGCACCAGAGTCACCAGTGACCTCGACAGGCTCGACCGCGTCTACCTGGGACACACCTGAAGGGGCAGGACCCTGAGGGGGGAGGGGGTCTACCGGGGGGGACCTGGTACCAAGAAGAGCGGGGGCGGGGGGAGGGACGGAGTGCGGTAGGGGAAGAGGCGGTAGTAGGGTACCGACTCGTCGAACGTGACGTCCTGGGAGGACAGAACACGTCGAGAGGTGGGGTGGTAGAACTGCCACCCAGGGGCGTCGGGGGGAAACCCCAGGAAGACGCAGGGAGCAGCGCGAGGGGACAGCTTGTCCGCAGACAAGTCGCGGACAAACGCCCTAGATCCCCAGACCCGGAACGCCGACGCATCGCCAACCTTCCCCGTCCACAGCAGGGCTGGGGAGGTCTCCGGCCTGGAGACCCTGGGGTGGAGGTTGATCTGATGCGCTGCGTACCTGACCGCAAACGGCCACAGAAAATGGGGGGCAGCCGCATGCATCATGGACGTACGGGCGACGTCCATGACCATGCCAATGCGGCGCTCAGCAATCCCATTTTGCTGAGGGGAGTCCGGAAGCGTGAAGGACTGGCGGATGCCTCGCGCCCGACAGTAGGCACGCAGAAGGCCAGAGGAGAACTCTCCGCCTCTGTCCGAGTGCAGACGCAACACAGGAAAGTCGGAGCCAAAGCTCTGCCTGAGCTGAAGACGAGCTGCGCGGATCCAGTCGATCAGCACCTCAGTAACCTCACCCTTGCTGCGCAAGGGGAAGACTGTGGTGTAACGCGAGTAGTCGTCAACAACGAGCAGGAAGTAGCGCTCCTGACCCTGTCCACGGACGCGGGCTGGGCCCCACACGTCCATGTGAAGCGTCTGCAACGGGGCCTCTGTCGGAGGAAACTGGCAGGAGTGAGGGGCAGCACGCTGGCGCCCCTCGACACAGGGGACACAGGCAGGGCCAGGGCCCTGAGGAAGGGGAGGTAGAGACCGGGGGAGACCAGACACAAGAAGACGGGAGGCCATGCCTCTGAGCCGAAGCAGAGAGGGGTGGCCAAGGCGGTGGTGCCAGAGGAGAGTCTCGTGAGACAGACGACGACACGAACAGGGGGAAGACTCAGGACCTGACCTGGACGCTGCAGCAAACACCTGACCAAACCAAGGGACCCTACCAGACTCAGCACCTGGAGGAGAAGCAGTGGTCAGTGTGTACTGGCTCGACCCTGGCCGACGTGTAAACGTAGCCAGGTGGCGTCCCGTGCTAGCCTCCGTGCAGTGGGTCACCCGCTGACGAGCAGGAGTGAACTGGTGGACACCCGCATCCTGTAGGTCAGCACCACTCACCAGGTTCGTCGAGAACGAGGGGAGGTAGAGACCAGACAGGGTGCCAGAGGGGGCCGCCGGACACGGAAGGACCGTGGAGAAGCGAGACAGGACAGGCCCCCCAGAGGGGTCAGCCAGGGACACCGCAACCGGCTGACTCAGCGGCGTGAGAGTGGTGCGGTCCCGAAAGAAGGAGCGAGACGCTCCAGAGTCAAGGGTGAAGGTGTGAGAGGCCGAAGCCGACAGAGTACCTGAGAGGGCAGACTCACCAGTACCTGAGAGCACAGACGCACTGGCACCTAGAGCAGCAGCCTCACTAGTACCTGACGCAGCAGTACCAATGCCCGGGTCGGGCGGGAAACACCGGTAACAGTCATCCTCATCACTACCAGTCACAGCATACATAGCAGAAAGAATAGCATCAAAGTCAAGATCATAAATAGCTACACCAGCCCTAGACAGCTCCCCCCAGCGGGGGATCTCAGCGGCCTCCGGAAAGTGCTGACGCCAGGCGTCGGTCAGGCGGCCAAAGCAGCGGCGGGCTGTGTGGGTGCCTCCACACCTCTCGCCCGCACGGTCGCCGGTGCGAAGAACGTAGGGGCAGGGACCAAACGCACCACCACGCTGACGCTGCAAGTACCACTCACGGAGCTGCTGAGGGGCGGGGACGGTGCGAGAGCGCTGCTACTGCTGTGGCTGCTGCTGCTGCTGCTGCTGCTGCTGCTGCTGGCGCTGGCCACCCCCAGAGCTGCTCCGCTGAGACGAGCCACTCCGACCTCCGCCGCCACCGCCACCCCCGCCTCCACCGCCACCCCCGTCTCCACCGCCACCGCCCCCACCGGCACCCTCTCCCCCGCCCCCTCCGCTACCTCCTCCGCCGCCACCTCCGCCTCCACCGCCTCCACCAGCACCTCCACTCCCGCCACCACCTCCACCGCCACCCCCACTCCCCCCGCCACCCCCACCTCCCCCGCCACCGCCCCCTCTAGCTCCACCCGCGCCCTTGCCCCCCTTGCCCTTGCCAGTGCGGCGTCTACCGCTGGGGGCAGACGCCGCACCGACCGACTCAAAACCAGCGAGGTCGGCCGCAGCGGCAGAGGCGAGAGAGGGCAGCTGGGGGGAAGGAGAACACCCCTCAAAAATGGGGGTGCGAGGGTCACCCCGAGAGGCCCCAACAGCGACGATGCTCTTCTCAGCCGCTAGCAGGGACTCCTCAAGGAGGTCGACAGTGAGGGTGGTGGGACAGACAGAGAGAAACTGGTCCCTAACGACACGAAGGGACTCAGGGAGACGGGTGACGAGAAAGTAGAGAGTGATGTACATGGGAGGAGGGTTTGCGGCGCGGAACTCAGCAGGAAGGGCAGCGCGGTGGCGAGCGTCACTAGCGCGGAGGTGGGTAACGAGGTCAGCGACAGTGGGAAAGGCAGCGAGGTCAGGGAAGAGAAACGGTAGCATGAGGCGGCTAAGCGTAGCGGAGGAAGGGGAGGAGTAGCGTGCAACTACAGCGTCGTACAAGGCCTGAGCGGTCTTGCACTGACTAAAGTGGGCACGCTCGGAGGAAGGGAGGTGGCGACGCACAGCAAGACGTGCAGCAGCATCGCGGGTCGCCCACTTGGAGCGAACGGCGGGGTCAGCATCAGCAGGAGGGGCAGGGACAGCGCCAGAGACAAAGTCAAAGAGAGAGACCTCATCTATCGCATCACACAGTAAGTACAGCTGCAGGTCCTCAATCCAGACTGCAAAGTCAATGGCTCTACCCTCAGCGTCAAAAGCTAGGACCGTGGGGGTGGCCATGACAGTAGCTGACAGTCTCACCGGGCAGGAAAAGTCGGGTAGGTCAGCGGCACAGTAACACAGCCCAGGAGCAGTAGTGGTCCCACAGGAGCAGGAGTGCGGCTCCTCTGGCGGCTCGGGCGGCTCGGGCGGCTCGGGCGGCTCGGGTGACGCAGGGGCTCACGGGCGGCGCGGGCGGCTGCACGGGGGGCTGCACGGGCGGCTCACGGGCGGCTCACGGGCGGCACGGTGGGCGGCTGCACGGGCGGCTAGGCCGACGGCGGGGCCGTAGCGGGGCTGTAGCGGGGCCGGCGGCGGGCTGTAGCGGGGCTGTAGCAGGGCTGTAGCGGGGCCGACGGCGGCCTGTAGCGGGGCCGACGGCGGGCCGACGGCGGGCTGTAGTGGGGCCGGCGGCGGGCTGTAGCGGGGCCGACGGCGGGCCGTAGCGGGGCCGATAGCGGGGTGTAGCGGGGCCTGCGGCGGGCTGTAGTGGGGCCTGCGGCGGGCTGTAGCGGGGCCGACAGCGGGCTGCAGCGGGGCCGAAGGCGGGCTGTAGCGGGGCCGACGGCGGGCTATGGCGGGGCCGACGGCGGGCTGGAGCGGGGCCCACGGCGGGCCGACGGGGTCTAGGCGGGGCCGACGAGGGGCCATAGCGGGGCCTAGGCGGGCCGACGGGGCCTATGCGGGGCCGACGCGGGGCCGTAGCGGGGCCTAAGAGGGGCCGACGAGGCCTAAGTGGGGCCGACAGGGCCTAAGTGGGGCGGACGAGGGGCCGTAGCGGGGCCTAAGCGGGGCCGACGGGGCCTAAGCGGGGCCGACGCGGGGCCGTAGCGGGGCCTAAGCGGGGTCGACGAGGCCTACGCGGGGCCGACGAGGCCTAAGTGGGGCCGACGAAGGGCCTAAGCGGGGCCGACGAGGGGCCTAAGCGGGGCCGACGAGGGGCCTAAGCGGGGCCGACGAGGGGCCTAAGCGGGGCCGACGAGGGGCCTAAGCGGGAGCGCGGCGGTAAGGGCGACACGGAGGGTCGCTAAAAAAAAAAAACGCGCGCCTCGGGGCGCGCTTCGGTGGGCCCTAGGAACAGTCCCTAGGAAGGGACCTGCTCTGATTCCATGAGAAAATATGAACGAGAATGAAATGACTATGAACGAAGTGAGTACAAATAGGAAACCCTAACTGGGTTGTACCCCCTATGGGATACCCCACTATAGCCTACACAAACAAGTAAGCTATAATGTTTTGACAATGAATGCGCGAAACGAAAACAACGAAATGCAAAACAACCTGTGCCAGCCGGGAATCGAACCCGGGTCTGCACCGGGCACATGGCAGGGTGCTATTCTACCGCTTTATTTACAATGTATATGTGTACAAAAGATACAGACGAATTTGAGCATCAGGAGGCTACCTAACTAGCAATGGCCCAACTGCAATCCTAGGTTGAGACCCCCAATGAGGTCTCAAGAACCAACACCAAGGTACGCAAAGTCAGCCAAGGAGGGTGGGGTGGGATCTGGTGGGGCGGAGGGTGTGTCAACACTGTAACGAATTTGTGTCCGACGGCAGATGGTTCGAGCCTGCTCACGCTGGTGCACCAAGGAAATCCTCTTGAAGTAGCTAGTCTCGAAGAGCTCTGGAATCAGGTCAGATGCACCACCCATGTCACGAAGTCGAGTCGCCCCTCGTCTGCTGCAGTCTTTGATGAAGCTGAGAAATGCCGTGCTGAAGCAACCGAAGGTTTCAAGAACGAGAGGAAGAAGCTTCACGTCTGGGCGGTTTTGTAACGAAGATGCATACAGGGTCCGCTTCTCAGTTTCGCGAGCAGATGCAGCTGAGCCGATTACTGATGCAGTCTTGGAGTTTGGGGGACCATGCTGCGGGTCTGCAACTGAAACATCTAATGCCCACGTAGTCCCAGAGCTGATGTCACGGCAGCTGATGTCTGGGCGACGTCCTGAAAGAAGGTGGGAGTCCTCCAGTTGTACGACGTAACCAAGCTCGGACGTGATGCGATGAACCTCATGCTTGATGGCGTCGTGGACCCTGGTAGGCTCGTTAGAGGATGGGCAGCGGAGGACGTGAGAGACGACTGAAGGGTCTGTGAATGCCGAGCCACAAGTGCATGTGCGGGTGGTCGTGAGGTGTGGAATGGGGAGGCCAAGACGAATAGCGGCTGCAATACACCACTCCGTAGGTGACAGCTGCATGTGCGAAGAACATGGAGCCACAGTAAGCCAATCGCCAGCATGGGGCCCTTGTAGGGAGGTTAAACGGGCCAAATGTTGGGGAGAGGTTACTGTGGATCGCACGCGCTCGAGCATGACAGCCTCCAAGTGCTGTGAAAGGTAGGAATATAGCTTCTGTGGATAGCCAGCGTGAAGTGCGGGCCAGGTAGGGAAGTGCTGCCGAATGGAAGGATGAAGTTTGGACATGGCTGTGGGAATGCATGGGTCAAGGCGGTCCATGGTGTCTGAAGCGATGAAGGGACGGAAAATAGGGGAGCCATGAATGGTGAAGCATGACGAGAGGAGTGAAACTGTCTGTGCCCAGCTGCATAGGTAACTGAGAGAAGCAGTTGCAGCTGAAGAACGGAGGCCGAACCCACCGAGGCGGATGGGAAGGAATGGCTGTCGGTGTGCTGTGGCAGTGTGGTCAAACGCAGGAGGCCAGTAGTCAGAGCCGATGAGGCGAACAAAGTGGTCCAGCAAGGTGTTGTCCCAGTCAGTGTAAAGCTCTTCTACCTCGGGAAATGGTGCAACTGTGCGGAGGAGGAATGAGGGACGGGCGGAAATGCAGAGAGTAAGGAGGCGGGAGGCAGTCTGTGGATCATGAAGGTCATGTAGGAGAGGCAGTGATGAAGAGAAAGAGTGCAGTTTGTCTCGAACTGTGGAGATAATGTGGGTGTCCGATCCGATAGGCACTCCTGCAACCGTGAGACCGTTAGGGGCAATGATGATGTCTGATGGAGGTGTGAGGTCCGAAGGGAGGTCCAAAGGGGCCCAGAGGGAGCATTTTGATGGTTGCACCCTCAGGCCCAGGTCATTGAGACGGGCTGTAAGCGCTGTGTAGGCAGGAAACACGTCATGCGCAGGACCGACCATGTACGTGTCGTCTGCGTAGGAGGAGATGAAAAGAGCTGGAGATTGACGCTGGATGGGGCGAATGGCTAGGTGCTGGGTGAGGGCGAACAAGAAAGGCCCGCATGGGTCACCCTGTCGAACACCCGATGATGACTGCAGTGTCTCGATTAATGGGCCGCTGCGGTAATGGAGAGAAGAGGGGGAGGCATAGAAGAGGCGGAAGAAAGGGATGAGGCTGGAGAATGGGGAGTCTCGCAGGGCGTTGAACATAGCGGAACGGCTGAAGGAGTTGAAGGCGTTGGCAACATCCAGTTCCAGCACAACCCACTCTGGGTGGAGGGAGAGGGCCGACTGGACTGCATGGGCCATAACCTCGATCCCTGCGGAGACAGCGACCCCAAATTGTAGGGAGGGAAGGAAGAAGTCCCGGATCTGCTGCTTGAAGTGAAGAGTAACGCAACGGGACAGCAGGCGCGGCAGTATCTCGCCGATGGCGATGGGGCGGACCCCTCCATGCGGCTTCTGGAGGGCAACAAGATTAGATGCGGTGAAGTAAGGTCGAACTGTTTGCGGGAGGTCGCCTTGCAGCCAATTGTGGAACAGGCGGAGAAGATGCGGCAGATGAGTCTGGTACGAGAGGAAGGTGTCGCGAAGATGCTCGATAAGCCACCCCGAAGGGCCAGCAGCTGTGCCTCGTGGGGCTGAACGCAAGGCCTGATGAAGAAGTGGAATGGTGAGCTGAGGCACTTCCGAAGGCGAGAAGTCGGACAGCCAGTCTGGAAGTTTTTCAGTAGTAGGAGGGTGCTTGGCCTTAAGCGCAGTAACAGTTTCAGGGGTCGGTGGGGCAAGCTCGCCAGCTTCTAAAGCGGCAAGGGAACGCGACCAGTCCCCGCAATGCGCGAATCGTTTGGCTCGGTTCAGTCGGGCGAACGTGGCTGTGGACCGGGCGGATGAGACACTGTGCGGTCGAGACGCTGGAACGGCAGCAGCGACAGCTTCGTTGAAGAGAGAAAGCCAGTCGCCTTGAATGAAACGACGTGCAAAGGCTGCACATGCTGCTGTGGCTGATTGTGAGGCAGGAGAAATGGAAGAGCGAAGCACCAGACGGGGGAAAGCAAGGAGGAGGAAATGAGCAGCAAGATCTTGCGGGAAGATGGCAAGGCGGCGAAGTGGTATGAGTAAAGAATCCAAGACCAGCAGGCGAGCTCGCGGCGGAATCCGACGCAATAGTGTGCCTGGGGTGACAGTGGGACTGAAGAACGTCCCCCAGTCCCAGGTTACGACATCGTCCCAAGTCTGTTGAGATATCGGTGGGGGTGCTGTAGAGGAGGAGGGAGTAGTAGTGGCACGAGGAGGAGGAGGGCGGGCTGATTGCTGACGCGTTGTGTTGTTGCGGGAACAAGCAGAGAGGTGGCGAGTAAGACCACCCGAGCTGGCAAAGTTACTATTACAGGTTTTGCAGTAATATGTTGGGGCCGGGACCGAAGTGGGCAAAGGAGAAGAAGAAGAGGCTGCAGCAGGATGCGGAGCAGATGTCGAAGCAGGAGGAGGAGCAGAAGGAGGAGGTTGTGAAGCTTGCGCAGCTGCAGGTTCAGGTTGGCGAGAAGCGTGCTCCTGGGAGGAGGAGGCTAAGGTTTCAGTAAGGACTTTATGAAGTACGGTCTTCTGTTGTTCTGAAACAAAGCGTGGTGGGGCTGATGACTTAGGGTGTTGAGAAGAAGAGGCTGGGGGTTGTGGAGTATCTGATTCTGGCAATGACGAAGAACGGTGTGTCGTGGCAGAGTCAGTAGGGAGGGGTGACGGACGTGGGCGTAAAGGTGGCTGTTGAATCGGTAGGGTTGCAAAAGGTGGGGATGAACGCGAGCGGTTAGGAGGACGAGAGGGGTGTGGGTCCCGGTCTTCAGGCGTCCTGTCCCGCTTACGGTTTGTCATGGTGAGAAAGTGGATTAGAAAGATTCATATGCTGTGCAGTTAGCGGTTTAACAAGTGTGTCAAATTCGCGTTTGGGAGAGGTAGTAGCGCGGATGCAGCAACGAGATATCATGCAGTGCAGAAGAGGTTTTCGTGGGTAGTTGGGGCTGATCGTGCTGCTGCCGAGGTGCAACGTGCTGGTGCTTGCGCAAATTGAAACACGTGGAAGTGGGGTCGTGTGTGGAAGGTGCAAGTTGGGAGGGTGGGGGAATTCGCGAAGGTGCCAGTCGTCGTGGGGGGTAGAAACAGGTGTAGGCAGGCGTCGTGCTGTCCCCCAGTGCTCGATTACTAGCAAAAACCACGCCGTCGCCGAAGGAACTCCTCTCCGCGTCGGACGCTAGTGAGTCTGTCGAGTGAGCTAAGGGTGGTGCCGACGTGGAGAAGCACTGTCAGAGTAGTAGCACGATTCGAATTTCGTCCGCAGCACTGTCAGGGTAGTCGTGCGTAGGGTTTCTCGCAGTTTTAGTGTATGCGTGCAAGTCGCGGCGCTTATTTACAGTACAAAAGAAGGTGCAAGGTCGCTGTTTTCGCTCCTTAGCGGTGAGTAGTGAGTTCTGCTGCTTTACTCGAGTGAGCAGCAAGGCGAACTACGAAAACGAAGGGCGTTCTAGCGCCTTAAACGTTGCTGCAGCGAGCTTGAGTGACGGTGAGGCAAACTACGAAAACGAAGGGCGTTCTAGCGCCTTAAACGTTGCTGCAGCGAGCTTGAGTGACGGTGAGGCAAACTACGAAAACGAAGGGCGTTCTAGCGCCTTAAACGTTGCTGCAGCGAGCTTGAGTGACGGTGAGGCAAACTACGAAAACGAAGGGCGTTCTAGCGCCTTAAACGTTGCTGCAGCGAGCTTGAGTGACGGTGAGGCAAACTACGAAAACGAAGGGCGTTCTAGCGCCTTAAACGTTGCTGCAGCGAGCTTGAGTGACGGTGAGGCAAACTACGAAAACGAAGGGCGTTCTAGCGCCTTAAACGTTGCTGCAGCGAGCTTGAGTGACGGTGAGGCAAACTACGAAAACGAAGGGCGTTCTAGCGCCTTAAACGTTGCTGCAGCGAGCTTGAGTGACGGTGAGGCAAACTACGAAAACGAAGGGCGTTCTAGCGCCTTAAACGTTGCTGCAGCGAGCTTGAGTGACGGTGAGGCAAACTACGAAAACGAAGGGCGTTCTAGCGCCTTAAACGTTGCTGCAGCGAGCTTGGGTGCTATTCTACCACTAGACCACTGGCACTCATCTGATGTTTGTGTAGATATTATTTATTTTATTATCGTGAAACTTTTTGTCAAGGGTGACGAGGTAACTGTATCCGAGTACGTAACGTAACGGCGCGTTTCCATTCAAGTTCACGACACTGTGTATGATTGTCTGAAACTTGAGGGTAAAAACACGCCCTGCGGAAACTGAGCTCTACTCGGATCTGACTGCCAAGCTGGGGAGAGGACTTCCCATCAAACGAAGCCTGGATTCCAAAATCCAAGCTCCTTGGCCTAGTTATTTTCTCTTCGTGGTCTGTCCTCTCGTGGATTCAACCTAGAGTCCTTCCAACCGCGATTAGCGAATCTGCCGAATAGCTTGTAGCCACTTCTTTTCCTGGTAGCTGCCGCTTAAGATAAGTGCAGCTGTTTCTCACGACATCATTGCCATTTTTCTGAGACCGGTTTTGTGACTGGTTTTTGTAACTAGGTGCGGATCGTAGAGGGATTTCCCACAATCTGTGAACTTCACTATTGCTTGAAGCGATGGAGCTTATAAGGAGGACGTTGCTACCGTTCGTCGTGGCCCTGATTACAATGGCGCGTCTCGCCTCGGCGTATCAAGTGGGAGACTACGTGCCGCTGGCCAGGAAAGGCCAGTTTAACAATGTAAGATTCGTTACCGTGAGACGAATTTTGAAGCTCTTAGAAAATTGGCCAGGAAAGGCCAGTTCAACAATGTAAGATTCGTTACCGTGAGCTCCGTTACCGTTAGCGTGGTATCATTCTCCCCGCTCTCTCCCATTCGTTCGCATCCCCTGCTCCCTCTCCCCTCTCTTCCCGCTCCGAAACGTCTTCCCAGAATTCAAATTTTCCCCCCTTTCTTCCCTCTCTCCCTCACCCCTTCTCCTTGCCACGTGTGCCGCGCTGATTGCTTCCGCAGATGCGGACGCACTGGCACGACGCCATTGGACGGCACTGCCCGCGATTCGGCATCAACCGAGAGGTGGGTGGGTGGGTGACAATCGAGCCAGGGGGGAAACAGCTGTGAGAGTTTACCCCTGCTGAGTTCATGCCATGCCCTATTGCCTCATGCCCCAATTTTTATGCCCATTTCCCGCTTTTTTTCTCCTTCCCCTGCTTATTTCTCTGCCTTTTCTGGCCTATCCCTGCCTTTCTCGACCTTCCCCGCCGCCTATTCCTGCGTTTCTCTTCCTTCCCCTCCCGTCCCGTTTTCCCTTGATACGCCCTGTGAAATCTGAGGTGTATTTTAAGACGCACCAATAGCCGCCTTTTCCTGCCCCAAACCCCATTTTCCTGCCCTACTCACTTCTAATTGCCCTCTTCCCCTGCGTCAGGTGGCTCTGCCCATTCCGCGGCCTGTGGGGTTCGAGATGGCAGAGCACTCGTATAAGATGTACGTTATTTTTGGATTTTTTCACAAAAAGTAAGCATGCTGCTCTGCTTTGCACTGATCATGCTCTCTCTACAACGCCTTGCTTTGTGCCTGAAACCGCAAGGCGGAATTGCTGCCTTCTGTTGCCTCGTTCCATCTTCTCACCCTTCCCCCGCCCCCCCCCCCCCTTCCCTCCCCTCCACCACTTCTCCCACCGCTACCCCCTCCTCTACTCCCTCTCAGGTCTCTGTCAGTGGGCAATGAGAAGTTTGTGACGCCATGGCTGCTTGTGATTGGTCGGAAGAGCCAGAACGTGCCACTCATTGAAGTCACCCTGGTGAGTAGTATACAATCCAGGTTACCCTGCGCCCAAGTGGGTACGATCAAGGTTACCCTGGCATTGAATTGAAATATATGAGTCCCCTTGTGAAAGGGGACTCAGGGGGTTGTGCGCATCGCAGCATTGTAGAAATCCTTTTAGAACATATCACACACATCGATGCGCGCGCGCGCGCACACACGCACGCACGCATGCGCGCACGCACATAACATGACACACATGATCTCCTCTCTCTTGCTGCTCCTCTCTCTTGCCCCTCACCCTTATCACTTTCCATTCCTTAATTCTCCCTACAGTCCGCTTAAACCGTATCCCCCCTTCTCTCTGCCTCTCTTGTTTCCCAGACACTCCTCTTCAACCCCATTTCTCTTGCCCTCTTTTCTCACAAACTCCTCCTCCCCAAACCGTCCCTCGATCCGTACAGACCCACTTCGCAGGCGATTTGAGGGGAGTGCAGGCGAAGGTGCACAACTTACCACATGAATGTGAGTATTGGTGGGGAATGTGAGGGGCATGTGAGTAGTGGTGGGGCATGTGAGTAGTGGTGGGGAATGTGAGTAGTGGGGCATGTGAGTAGTGGTGGGGCATGTGAGTAGTGGTGGGGCATGTGAGTATGAGTGGGGCATGTGAGCAGTGGGGCATGTGAGTAGTGGTGGGGCATGTGAGTAGTGGTGGGGCATGTGAGGTGTGGTGGGGCATGTGAGGTGTGGTGGGGCATGTGAGTAGTGTTTCCTTCCCTGCCCTTCCCTGCCCTTCCCTGCCCTTCCCTGCCCTTCCCTGCCCTTCCCTGCCCTTCCCTGCCCTTCCCTGCCCTTCTCTGCCCTTCCCTGCCCTTCCCTGCCCATCCCTGCCTTCGTACTCCCTTCCCTTTCATTTCCCTTCGCGTCCCTACCATGCCATGCCATGCCACACAACCACCAGATCTGGAGCGGCATCGACAGCTGGCTCTGGAGTTCAGAAACGAGTCGCACTGGCCTAAACACGTGCTCATGCGCTACACATGGTGAGAGGGGATTCAGTGTGGTGAGATGCGGTGAGATGGGATGGTGAAATGGATGGTGGGATGGGATGGTGAAATGGATGGTGGGATGGGGTGGTGAAATGGATGGTGGGATGGGATGGTGAAATGCATGGTGGGATGGTGGAGTCTTGGGTTGGTGTACTAGAGGGGTTATGTTGTCTGCTTCAAGCATTGGCTAATGCACGTGCCCATGAGATACCCGTGCTCCCAGCCTCTGCCTCTCCTCGCTGCTGCTCCTACGTGTCCCCCCTCTGCCTCTCCTCGCTGCTGCTCCTACGTGTCCCCCCTCTGCCTCTCCTCGCTGCTGCTCCTACGTGTCCCCCCTCTGCCTCTCCTCGCTGCTGCTCCTACGTGTCCCCCCTCTGCCTCTCCTCGCTGCTGCTCCTACGTGTCCCCCCTCTGCCTCTCCTCGCTGCTGCTCCTACGTGTCCCCCCTCTGCCTCTCCTCGCTGCTTCTCCTACGTGTCCCCCCTCTGCCTCTCCTCGCTGCTGCTCCTACGTGTCCCCCCTCTGCCTCTCCTCGCTGCTGCTCCTACGTGTCCCCCCTCTGCCACTCCTCGCTGCTGCTCCTACGTGTCCCCCCTCTGCCTCTCCTCGCTGCTGCCCTCCTCGCCTCTCCTCCCTGCCCCTCATCCTCTCCGCCTCAATCTCTCGGTGTCATTCCGCCTTCCCTCTCTCAGGCTCGAGTATGCACGGTGGACGTCACAGCAGGTCTCCTTGTGCTCTCTGTCTTATCTGTGTGCCATTGCTCTTTCCCTCATCCCCTCTGCCTCTATCTGTGTCTTCTCTCTCTCTCTCTCTCTCTCTCTCTCTCTCTCTCTCTCTCTCTCTCTCTCTCTCTCTCTCTCTCTCTCTCTCTCTCTCTCTCCCTCTCAGGCTCAAGTATGCACGGTGGACGTCACAGCAGGTCTCCTCGTGCTCACTCCCCGCCTCTCATCCCCTCCCCCCTCTCATCCCACTGCTCACTCCCTGCCCCTCATCCTCTCCTCCCTGCCTCTCCTCCCTGCCCCTCATCCTCTC